ATTGTGGGAAAATTCTACTACCAGTCCTTCATCACCTTACACGAAATAGGGTGAATACATCTCATTTAATGTAGGTTTGTCTTGTTGACACAAAAGTTAAAGGAGGTTTGGCCTGCTCCCTATCCGAGTGAAGCAGCCACTGAGGCCCATAAGAGATGGAAAGTGTAGTCCTGAAAGACAAATTAAATTTGACTCATTCAATTGTGGCCTAGGTTGACTAAAATTCTTGTTACAAAGATTGAGTCAAGCTTGAGATAAAGTAAAAATGGCAAAGCTTACTTACTACAAAAGCTGTATATTCTTTATTATCTAAATTTGAGCTGGTTAGTCCTATAGCGAGACGATAACTTTTAAGGAAACTGTTAACTGTTAACATTTTATGCTCTCTATGATCCCATCTCCTTTGAGTGAAATAGACTTTTAAGACAGTTTCCCTTATGGCTAACGAGGTAAAGCTGTCGGACCTCTTTCGAACCCGTCATTTTATTATAATAAAACTGAAGCAAGTGAGCACTACTTTCCGAAATTATGTAAGAAAGCACACCTGGAGTGACTACTGAAGATTGTTTTAATAGCGTCTTGCCTGTATTGTTGTCATGTTAACAATGAGATCTTAACATGTACAAAGAGAAAGTATTTCGGGCTGCCACTATAACTATAAACTCATTGTTTTGGATCAGTCAGAGGTTAGTGTATCCTCTTTCATGGCAGGCAATGATACTGTAGGGCTGAATTTACTTTGACGCGAAAGTGAATTGTGAAGTGATTCGAAGACGATGGTGACTTATTATGGCCTATTGTTACTTGTCTTTGTTGCGACCTCTCTCATTATGCAAGTAAACAGTTTCATTTTCGTGGTTGAAAAAGTTATTTATTAGCTGTAAATCCAGAATAGATCCTAACAATGATAAAATAAAGAAAAGCATTACTTGTATTCTTGAAATGATACAGATTCATGCAGATGGTCGAACGTGAAAATAAATTAACCAAATCATTTAGTTCCTCTCTTATACTGATTTTGGGAATTATTAACCATCAGGCTTGCTGAAATTGTGATGATATTCAATTCGTGTTAAATTGCTAAATGAAGCGATTTTAAATTCAATCTAACCTCCTTCGGAACCGGTGAAAACTGGCCAGCTTTGCGACAGGAGCTGAAGCTTCCTCTTACAACAACCTTAGAGGTCAGTTAGCTTTCTGGTAGCTACGATTATGTCTGTCATATGACGGTCGAAAGGTTAGTCAGTTTTACTCCATGTTCCAGCCACATTCTGATAGTAACATCAAGAGATGGCTCTCGGATTTCTGCATCAGACACATTCTCACAAAATGAACGTTAGCATAAACAAAAATGTTATCTCATGATATTGATATTCTTAATTAAGCCTTATTTTAAAGTTGTGCTAAAAGTATGGTCCAACTCAGATGGCATCTGCCAAACGATATGACGGACGAGAGTACAGCGCTTTCTCACTACAATCTAAGAAGACCGTTCCGAAGCGCGTATTAGCAGAGTGACAACAGAGTAATGCAAAAAACAGGTCAACATCTTCCTGCCCAAGCCGGTGATCCAGTCTCATCAACAAGGTCGAACTGGTTATAACCTACTTTTCAAAGACGCTCTTAACTTTTCTTTCACCTTTTGCCCGGACTTTTGTTTCCTCTGCTCTAGCACATTGCCCGGTTTTCTCTCCGATACCGTTTTATCTCTATTTCCTTTCCTCCAAGGACATAAAAAGCATACCGCAACTGTTTACCTGAAATCTAATCAGTTTCAGCAAGTCACGCCCAAAAATCTCTGCCTAGCGGAAGCCGACGTCCAAATCACCCTTCTCGCTCTGAGTTATGATTACGTTGCTACAGCTACAAACGCATCGAAATTGCTTGCATTCGTTACCTATCTTTACAACAACCAGCTTCCACACCCCTCCAGTCTACCCGACTGCCCGTTGCCGTCCAGTCGGGATCAAATTGGAGTTATTTACCTTTCGGCTATTTGCCACCCCCACCTCTCCTCTCTTCACATTCACACTTTCCCCCTCCATTCTAAAACGACTACGTGCTCTCAAATTCTGGCAACCAAACAGACTATACGCATGATTTTTTTGCCCTATTAAAGTAACTAGGGGAAATTAAGCTTTTGGTGCATCCTTAAACTTGACGTTCGAATAAGGCGAGGCCACTTCTTCCATGATCGAATTTACAGTACCCATTCGGGTGACTAGGCGTATTGATAACTGCATGTGTGCCACGTGAAGAGAATACCTCTTAATTTTCCTCCGATTTGATGGCATATTGCATAAAAAGTACCTTTTTTTAGGCAAAACAAAAGCCATCTTGTGGGTTCTATTATGATATACACAATAGACCACGAAATCCTGCTTGAAGTTAAAGAATGCGCACAAAAATGAGGCAAATTTGGGTGTTGCGATCGCAGATCTGCACAAAAGCCCGATCTACCTTGAGGCCATCATGGTGCCAAATACTAAAAGACACAACCGGAACTCACTTGAATGCGGTGGCGTTTCAAACATTAATGCCACCTTTTTTTCCTTTCGAGTAGGTTTTCGAGACTACTAGTAAATAAGATATATGAGCTGTGTTCATCCAATTTCAAAGAATACCAAACATTTTCCCATTCTGTGTTTGGAATTTCGATGAAGCAAGCTTATAGTTGCTATAGAAATCGACGACATTGGCTTTGTTTACTTTCGAGTAGGTTTACGAGACTACCAGCTCTCCCATTGAGTACTTAATTATCGTCTTAGATTATTCCTTTAACATCTTGTACTTACAACATTTTTTCCGCCTTATACACAACTAATATTGCTCCTCAGTTCTAATTGGTCATTTTATTATGATTGTATTAACTTTCGTATTCTTATGTGGTGCTTCTACACAACTATCAATCGAAGGAACAAACTTTAACTCAATGCAACTCTCCTTATCTCCTAAGAACATATCCGTTAACCTTATCAACTATGTCAGTATTTCGTTCCTGAAGCATCTCTTATTTGGCAAGGCATAGTTTAATCTTTCGTTTTATAAGTCAATTTTCTAGACTGCTTCATCGAAAATCCCATCATAGTATGTGATATTGGAAAACGCCTGGCCTTTCTTGAAATTCACGTCTGTCTTGTGACCCAAGGGCACTCGGGGCAATGTGGCGTAATGGC